ACCACCTACCCACCTCCCACCTGCACCTGACCTCCTATCCCCCTCCCACCACCCTTGTTGCTCCTGACGTACCTCCATTTCGCACCCATCCCCCTCTTCCCCCTTCCCCTCCCCCTTTTCGCCCTCCTCCCCCTCTTCCCCCTTCCCCTCCCCCYYCCCCYCCCCCYCCCCCYCTTCGCMCTCCCCCCCMCCCCTCCCMACGACACACACACAAACGCGCGCGCGTGCGTGTACAGTTCTTGATAAACAGAGGGGTGCGATGACGACCCGAATGCGGGCGTACGTGTCTCCCACGCCCACTACTTACCTAACCCCCATTCCGCATCCCACCCTCTCCCACTCCCCACCCACACCCACGCCCACTACTTACCTAACCCCCATTCCGCATCCCACCCTCTCCCACTCCCCACCCACACCCACGCCCCCTCACCACCCACCTCGACTCCCCACACGACGAGACAAACGGGTGTGTGTGTGTGTGTGTGTGTGTGTGTGTGTGTGTGTGTGTGAGAGAGAGAGAGAGAGAGAGAGAGAGAGAGAGAGAGAGAGAGAGAGAGAGAGAGAGAGAGAGAGAGAGAGGGTATATACTTCTGCAACGTTGTCGCGAGCGCCATGACGGCTCGAATGAGAAGTATATACCCTCTCTCTCCCGTCGCTCAGGTACCATCGCTGAATGTGATCGAATGCGATTGAGATACGTAGGGCCTCGCTCCGCTACTCACCATAAAAACTCACCAAATGTGCAAAATGAGAATGAATCCTCCACTAGAACATGGGAAGATACACCGCCATGTATTTTGTCTTTTGTGCATGTGGTGGGTGAGTAGTGGAGCGAGGCCCATAGGCTCGCTGCTGAAGAACTAATCCCGTACTGAAGGTTCGAATACTTACAGTAATGAATACTCAGCGAATACTCAGTGAATACTCGAATGAATACTGAACGATTACTCGATGAATAGTTGATGAATACTTGATCAATGCGATGGGGATGATTGAATATGAGGGAGGTGGGGAGAGGCCTTTTCCAGTGAAGTGGATCGATCCGAGCGGGAAGCCAGAAAGATGGTGAATACTCTGTGAATACTCTGTGAAGACTCTGTGAAGACTCTGTGAATACTCGATGAATGCGATGGGGGTGGTTGTGAGTCTGAAGGAGGTGGGGAGAGGCTCTTTTTTCCAGTGAAGTGGATCGATGCGAGATCCCGATCCGGAAAGATGGTCAAGGAGATTGCGCGGTCGGTTTGGATGATTGGATGATCAGATCGACGTCTCTGTCGATGAACAAAGAACAGGATCGAGTTGTGAGGAGAATGGATGGATCGATGGGATCTTTTTCCGTAAACAAACAATGACGTTTTGGGTTCGGATCGACGGGTGATCGACGTGGCTACTATGTGAATCTAATCGACGTGGCTGCTGCGTATTTAATCGAGTGGCCGCTGCCAGTCGCGGATCGACGTGGCTGTGATGCCAATCAGATCGACGTGGCTGCTGCCAGTCGCGGATCGACATGGCTGTGATGCCAATCAGATCGACGTGGCTGCTGCCAATCAGATCGACGTGGCTGTGATGCCAATCAGATCGACGGGGCTGTGATGCCAATCAGATCGACGTGGCTGCTGGGAGTTGGGTCGAGGGGCTGCTGCCAGTCGGATCGACGTGGCTGTGATGCCAAGCAGACCGACGTGGCTGATGCCACTGGGATCCACATGACGGCTGCTTCTCGGATGCACGTTGCGGCTGGCAATCGGATCCATGTGGCGGCTGACAATTGGATCCACGTGGCGGCTGGAAATCGGATCCACGTGGCGAATGGGCAATCGGATCCACGTGGCAGCTGGGAATCGGCTGGATCCTCGTAGCGGCTGCCAATAAAGAAACAGGATCGAGTTGGGAATGAACTGGATCGATTCGATGTGTTCCTCAAAAGAATGACATTGATGCGGGTCGGCAGGAACGTGCCTGCGAAAAAAAAAAAAAGCAAAGCAAAGTCTCCTGCGAATGGATGGGAAATGGGATAGATGGAGAGAAGGAAGCGATCGACATGCCTGAGGGATAAAGTAGTTGGGATCGGGATTGGCTCCGAAAGTGATAGGGTCTGTTTACTGAGTCGGGATATAGGGGATCAAGGTGTGATCAATGTGTGTGCCAGTCACTAACCACCGTTATTTGAATTTCCTCCCCGCCCTTTTCGTTCCTTCCCGCCCTTTTCGTTCGTTCCCGCCCTTTTCGTTCGTTCCCGCCCTTTTCGTTCGTTCCCGCCCTTTTTGACCGCCCCGGGGCTAGGTCCCACTTGCACGAAATAAAAGATACTGACCGTAGATAGCAAAGATCAACACCCGAAATCTCCCTATTTGCGCGAGTGGGACCTTGCCCCCGGTCTTTTTCGTTCGTTCCCACCTTTTTTGACCGCTCCGGTCCTTTTCGTTCGTTCCCGCCCTTTTTGACCGCCTTGGTCTTTTCGTTCCTTACCGCCTTTTTTGACCGCCCTGGTCTTTTCGTTCCTTCTCGCCCTTTTTGACCGCCCCGGTATTTTTGCCAGGAGCCCCCTTCTTTTCTCAGATGGTCCGATGGATCGATCGGATCCGACGGCCGCTATTTTCTCTCTCCTTTGCCTATTTTTGAAGGGATTGGCGCGATTTTATTTTTTCGGGGGGCAATGGTGGTGTGGTTCAATGAATGGGGTCGAGATATTGAGCGTCATCCAATTAACGAAATGAGGTGAATGGGGATCAAGACGCCAGCTTTCAAGGGCTGTGATCGAGACCGGTCGACTTGACTGTCGGGATCGAGACCGGTCGAGTTGACTGTCGGGATCAGCGTGATCGGGATGAAATGAACGGATCAAGATGTGTGCTTGTTAATGAATGGGATCGGGACTCGGCGGCTGTGGTCGGTCGGTCGGTCGAGATGTCGATTGGCATCAGCAGGGTCGGGATGGAATGAACGTCCGCGATCGAGACTCGACGGCTGTGATCGATCGGTCGAGATGCCGATCGGGATCAACCGGGGACGGGGATGAAATCAACGGATCAAGATGGCATTGTTAATGATTGGGATCGATGATATTCCTTAGTGTAGATTGAATGTATTGACCAGCTGAGAATACTACCGTCTTCCTCCGAACAAACGCACCCTCATTTTGGCTGCACCGGGTCGGAAAGATAGCCTGTATACATTCATTATCACGGTGCTTTGTGTTCCAGGGAAGACGGTACAGCTCCTCTTTCTGGACGGAGCTGAGAACACCCTCATTCATTTTGGCTGCACCGGGTCGGAAAGATAGCTTGTATACATTCATTATCCCGGTGATTTGT